CATTTGTGCATATCTCCCAGATGGCTTCTAGTTACATCTAATAACTAGATGTGCCTGATTCAAATGGAAATAGAAGAAAAATCAATATTTAATTATCTGAAATATTAGATCTGTTTCATTTCCTGACATACCATAGAACTATATACTCTTGGTCATTTCCCAACAGTCATTACCATTATCAACAATGGAGTGATGCACAAACATTACTGAGTGTGCCCGTCATTTGCATCCCTAACATTTAAAATGGTCTTCACCAAAACGTATGTAGCATTTTGAGTAGATGATGAATGATATTAGACAGTTACACCTGATGATTAAATCAGATGTACAAGTCATTACCGATTTTCCCTCATCAATGCATTACCATGCATGGGAAAAAGAATACTGTATACTTTATTATAAGGATATCTATAATAATAATCAAGTGTTCTGCCTTGCAGAATTCAAAAGATCTCTTAAGTAGAAACCTACTTTAGTCTGCAGAACTGAAGTAATATGACTGATAGAAAGAATATTATAGCAAAAGAATGAGGAACAGCAAAAAATTGAGGGGGGGGGAATTTCATTATCATCCCATTCTTCTGCATCATCAGAAAAAAAAGGTCCTAGAGGGAACTGTTCCAGAGCCTTACGGTAAAGGAATTCTCATTTGGAATTGTGAGACAACTTTAAGATCTAGTGTTTATGTGCTTTAAGTCTTTGCATAGCGTCTGTACATTTATGGTCAGTGGCAGTTTTGGATAATGTTAATGCTTTTACTAAAATTATAATAAACGGACAAGAAACACACCATATTACAGGTAACATATACATTTCCAGAACACTAACTTTATAATTTGTCATCTCATCATAGACATTTAAACAAAATCAAAATGAGAATACATACATGCAAACACCAATTTGGAGCTGTAGTATGAAATCTCTGTAGTAAATGAACAACTTTCGTGTACTGAAATGCAACCTATTGAAGTGCTAGAGAAAGTTTAGAACATACTAAGTGTTCTGAAGCATTTCTAAAAACATTGCTACTAAAAGAGGCAATGGCAAAAAACCCACAGAATTTGGACGGTGGAAAAGTTCAGAAAAAGGAAAATGCAGGGCTATCACAACCAAGAAGAACAATGAATGTGACACATGAAGAGGGATTTGTGTACATCAAACAGGTGTATGAACAGAGATATTTATTCTTATTCAAGTATATTTAAATGTGTTCACTCAATTCACTGCCAACCTAGCAGTTCGAAAGCATGTCAAATGCAAGTAGATAAATAGGTACCACCTCAATGGGAAGGTAATGACGTTCCGTGTCTAGTCGTGCTGGCCACGTGACCACGGACACTGTCTTCGGACAAACACTGGCTCTATGGCTTGGAAACAGGGATGAGCACCGTGCCCTAGAGTTGGACACGACTGGACTAAATGTCAAGGGGAATCTTTACTCAATGCACGCAGAAAGAAGCATGTAAGCCCACACACCCCTAACACTGCTTCCCAGGAAAAGCAACAGATGTGACAGAGCAACAGAAAAAACAACAGAGACATCTCTACTATGGTGAGTCTCATGATGCCTTGGAAAGACAGCTATGAAGGAAGCAGAAGATATCCTAAAAGTCCAAGGATGAATACACTATGGTATTTCCAATTACTATGTACAGATGTAAAAACTGGATAGTGAAGAAAGCTGACAGGAAAAGTTAATTTGAAATGTGATGTTGTAGGAGAGTTTTGAGGACACCATGTACCGCCAGAAATGCAAACAAATGGTTCAAATCAAGCTGGAACTCTCTCTAGAAGCACAAAAAGACAGCTAAACTGAGGTTATGCTACTTTGTGTATATCAGGAGAAGACAAGACTCACTGGAAAAGACAATAATGTTGGGAAGAGTTGAAGATAGCAGAAACAAAGCAAGCCCAAATAAGAGATGAACTGACTCAATAAGTGACACAGACTTCAGTTTGCAAGAGCTGAGCAAGGCTCTTGATGATAGGACTTATTGGAGATCACTAATTCATAGAGTCACTGTAAATCAGAAGTTACCCGATTCCACACAACAACATTCACATCAAACCTATACGTACCCAGTTCCCTATAATGCCGGTTCAAATGAAGAAAACAGTTCAAACAAAATCAATTTATAGTGAAATTATTCAAAAGCAAATAAAATTTATCTCAAGGGTACTATTTTGTGATGATGGCTTTCATTTTCTTTTTTTTATAAGGGTCCAGTATGAAAATAGAAGCTCATGCAAAGCAATTTAATACCTTTATCAAATTTATTTGCATAACATTTTAAAACTGGATTTCATTGTTCATTGATCCTTGACTCAACTGCTCAACTGAATGCACTATTCAACCTGGATAATGGATATTTTCTCAGAGGAGTATTTGGGATGCTGCTGCAGTCTGTCAGATATACTTTAGACTATTTTTTCTTTTGTAGCACTAAGATGGTTTAATACTTTCAAAATTAAAACTATATTGTTAGAGGCAAGAGGACAAAATAGTCAAATTAGTTTCCTTTGAAAAACCATTTTATACCAGATATGATTTCAGAGTGAGAAACTGTTCAAACCAACAATAAATTCTTTGTTATCACTACTTAATATGTCACTTCTTTCATTAAGAAAGGATTCTCATCCTTATAACAGATAACACAGTTTGCTCTTTGTACAGCTGCTGTATTGCAAAATGATTCTAAAAATAGGGGATGTTACAGTAAACCTGCTTGTGACTTTCTTCTGCCTTCTCCAAAATTTGAAACTATGCAGACAAAATTAATAAATAAAAAAGGTGCAATCTATTTCCTGTTGCCAGTACCAAGACCTTCTATTGGGGCTGGACTTTGATATTTGCCCCTTGGCTGAGAATCCATATATCCTACTTCACACTTAGCTGCAGTGAAGTAGCCCTCCAGGCAGGCCGACTTCAACGAACCACTAGTGGTATCATCATTAAAATCCTGCTGAAGGTCACCATGGCAACCGCCTGCTGAGGCTTCACTGCTGCACTCGGCATCTCCTAATCAGCTACCATGTGAAATGCAAATTCAGACAGTCTGAAAATTAGTCAAGAAGAATAGAGGATGAGGATGCAGATACGTGAAATATTCATGTGCTTTGCAGAAAAGGGAAGACAGCATGAATGACACAACAAAGAACGGCCCCTGACATTCTTGCTATCATTTTGCATTATTGTTCACACCCGACTGTATTCCTAGGCTCCCGGTTCTGAAGTGCCGTAGTTATATTGCACAAAAATGTAATAATTAAAAATGGCCACCAGGAAAAAAAAACACCAGTTAATTGGGAAAACTGTATTAAGGATATGTTACACACACTAGCAGATAACATTATCTCCACCTCATAACATCTTTCCAATCCTCCTAGAAAGCACAGACACACACATACAGAGTAGTTGAGCTGTCACCAGAACAAACAAACAAATACCCTACATGAATCGTCATACTATATGACAAAGACTTTTTTAAAGACCCAAAATTTCTGGACTGCAATCTTTTATTAATAATCAAAATCTTGAAAAGCAAGAGGATTCAAGGTTTCAAATTACACATTACTGTACTCTCCATTCTGTAAGCAGCACAAGGCTTTAATACTTACAAAACGTATTTCAGAGAGGATGTTTACGTGCATTTCAACATAATATTTAATTCATGTACACTGAATTAGACTAAGTTGCTGTAGCCTCTTTGTTGGCTTGGAGCTGGCATATTTTTACCTTCTTCAAACTTTAGAATATTTCCCTACCTGATAAGCAAGTCACACATATTTGGACATATATGCACTCCCCTATATCAGAGAGACATGCATATACTCTCTGTATGTATTAATTAACAGGTATGTCTTTTATACACAGTTATTCAGCATTTGCTGTTCACACAATCTTCAGGACTGAAATAAAATGAATGATCACTAGAACAAGTCTGTCGCTGGAAGAACTGCAATATATTCTTTATATATTGAACCATGCACCATAACGTTTCCATGCAAGGGGCACAGTTTAATGATATGGAGTGGCCACTATAAATACTGGAATCCCATCTTCCTACCTTCTCCTTGTGCGCACACAGAGGTGAACAACAGCACTGCATCAAGAGATCCACAGAATGGGAGGGGCGAAGACTTCCTATTCCCTGTATAGCCCTCCTGTTTATCAAGGAACATGGGCTTGTATATCTGTGTATGCATCTGTGCAAACACACTGAGGAAAGAAGAGTTGCTATTCCTTAAGCATCTGGAGTTATGCCAGTGCAGAATGGATCATACTGGTAGTGTTCCTCCAATAAGGAAAACAATTTGCAACTGAATTCTCAGTTAGAAAAATCATGTTTTTAACATTTATTTATTTATTACGTTTACAACCTGCCTTTCCACTAAGAGACTGCACTCTAGATGGCTAGCAAACTTTTTAAAAAAACATATATCCTTTATTGGACAGAAGGGGGCACATAGAACCCTGGATTCTCTTCTTTCAGCTACCTTTGACTACACCCAAGCACTTTATCACAGTAAGGATAATTAGTTATCACAAGATCACAGAATTAACTCAGAGAACACCACACAGCTGTACATAAAATTCTATTTATTCTATAGCAAGGACAACTTTAAGCTATTCCTCACCTATATTACAGTTTGAATTTTAATCTCTAGCAAAAGATAGAAGCACTCTAAGTATGTATCACATCAGAACAGTTTCTTTCAAAACAAGTACATTTAAATATCTATGCATCAAACCTGCAGCCATACTGAAAAATAACAGATAAGATGCATACACTGCTGCACTGTTTAATCTTTGTACAAATAAGGAGCGCATGAGGAACGTCTCTTGCAGACATTGTGCTGGAATGCACCTGTATGGTGGATTGTGCCCCACGCCCCAATTTAAGTTGGCAGCTTGTTAACAAGAGAAGTCCCATTCACTGTGCAGCATTTGTTCTCATCTCTCTACTTTTACTTGGTCCAACAAAAGTGAAGTTACTTACTTCTTCTGAGTAGTGATCCGATGGAAGGGGTGGGTAGTCACACTGTTCTATTTTTTTACATAAGGAATACAAATTCATTTTGTCACCATAGAATGGACTCTGTAGTGCAGCCATCTATATACATGTGGAGAGAGGAAAATTACAAATATACTTTAGTGGGAGTGGGTGATGTTTCATGTGTTTGTGTGTTTATGTGGAAGGGAAGGCATTAACTCAAGAAATTAAAAATTCTACAATCTACCTTTCATTCAGGTAGGACCAAACTAAGGTACCATTTGCTTAGGCCGGAAGATAGATTACACAATACACAGCTGCCTAAATAAGCAGATAATCTCTTGTCCCAACTGCTTGTTTGCTGCTCTGTCCTCATAGTCACTGCACTTGCTCAAATGAAAAATCAAGTTTGCTCTTCTAAGTGATATATGCAGAATGTTTTCCTAATATTATAGTGAGTTTATAACTTATATGTGAAAATTAACCAAAAGTTATTTCTGCACTGATATTATTCTTCATACATTTTGGCTTTTTTGTATGTTTCAAATTCCCTACATTAAAAGAAACTAAGTATACTTCTGCACTAAATATTGTAAATAAAATAAAATGATCAGTGTCTAAAAAAGCCTGTACTACTTTGTCCTCTGCACTCTAGGTTTGCATTTCTCAATACAGTATCCCCCCACCCAAAAGATATGGAAGTATTTCTGAAGTAAAGAGGAGCTTCAATCTGCATGGTAATCTTCTGCTTGAAGTAAAATATTATGGTTCTCATTGGGGTTGCACACTCGGGGTACCCCTGAAGTTGTTCCTTAGACCCTGCACATATTCATCCTAAATTTATTTATTTGGATATTTGCAAACTTCATCAAAGGGAATCAGATAGTAAACAATAAATAATATCAAAATTGGTCATATAGGCACAAGATGCAAAACATACAATGCAACACAACAGAACAGCATTAAAGGGGTCATTTATGCTTCCAGAGAGTGATACATGAAACATTAATATATGTACCACAAAAAGCCAACACAACATTTGTATTTGATACCATAAAACTACCTGTTTACTGCCTACCTTGCTTCCAGGACTTTGGGTGGCTCTGAATTTAAAAATGACACTTGTGGAAGAAACATCTATTGATGTACCACAAAAAATGTTTAAAGGTTGTATACATTTTCTCGTTACTTTGAATCTTTTTTTCTTGTTGCAGTTATTCTGAATCCCACCTGCTTTTCTAGAAACTAAAAGATGCTGAACAATTCATTTGACTGGATATGAAGCTGCTTTTCAGATCATTGGTCTACCTAGCTCAGCACTTTTTACAGTGACTGGCTGCAGTTCCTCATAGTTTCAGTCTTGGATGTTTTCCATTGCTACCTGAATCTGATGGGAACCTAACCTACATACTCCTATATGCCAAGTACATGATTCACCACAGAGTTACTGCCATTCCTAAGCAGATACTTTCCTTGATGGTATGATAGATTTTAGCATTTTCCTCACTGTGTCTAATCTTTCTGCTGATTTCAGAAATGTTTAATTCCTTCGGTTTACAAATATACATTATTATTTTATACCATTTGACTTCTTAAAATTTATGGCCCATTCTCCTTCCATTTCACCATGTACTTAGTGAAATATGAGAACATCAGTGACTAAATTCAAGGCAGACAACTGCCTCTTTAAAAGTGGACAGTGGCTGAAATTTTGTCCAGAAATGTGTGCACAACATCCAAATAAAATGAAACACATATAATGTATGTATTATTTGATATTTTTTTAAAAAAAGCTTTAAAATATCATCAGTTCATGTTATGTTTATTTCAAGACAATGTTAGCAGCTGACATTTCAAAGGCAAACAAATATTGCAATGAGATTGGTAACTTTAAAAGGATTTGTAGAAAAATGCTCACACTGCCTCCCAAACTCCTTAAATCTCTGAACCAGAGCAGCATGAGCACTGCTTGGAGAGCAGCGCTGCCCCAAAGTCAGTCACCCTTTTCTACATGTGCTAATAAGTTTGATTTTGGAAGGACAATGTGTACATTCCCTAGACAGGCAGAGTGTGTGTGAAACACGCTAGTCCATGCTGTGCTACTCAGTGAGCTTCAGCAGGGACAGGACAAGCTGAAAATGGCTCTCATCTGTCTTGTGGTCTTCCAGATAGAACATTAACTCCTTCACCACTGAAAAGGCTATCCATTTCAGCAGTGCTATATCATTAAGAATCTGGAAAGGAAAATTTCAAAATAAATGCAGATGAATGCAGCAATTTTCTAGCAAGGATATCAAAAACCATCATAGTGGTACAGACTAATTGGATATCATAAATACTGTATTCTGTTATTAAAATCCCTAAGAGCATAGGGATTAAGCTTCTTAGAAAAAGCAGTTTTCCAATCCTATTGTTCCCCACATTAAATCTTGAAACAACGTAATTCATGCATTTTCCCCCTTTAAGCATGACCAAAATCAAAGCCAAAAATCCTAACAACAGAACCTCTGCGCATGCAAAAAAATTCAAAATAAATGCAGAGATCGTCAGTGTTGGTACACTAGGTGTTCATTAAAAAGTACTTTTGTTTGAACGCTGCAGAGTGCTAAAGAAGAAAAAAAGAAAAAGAAAAGAAGGAAAAGCTGAATGTCCCCTAAGGAGTTAAAACAGGAATACTATATTTTCATGCATCTCCTGCTTTGACAGATGAAAAATGTCAACTGTCCTGTTTTTATTTTCAAGCTTTTGCACTATTCATCTGGTTCATTAGTGCATCTCGCTGCTGCCCCTGACAGCTGCTCGCCCTCTCCTCCCAGCAGCTGAATTTTTCAGGCTAATTTGATCCTCCACACTGAGACGATCGCTAGAATGATTGACTTGCTCCCTGACCTCCAGGGTCTGACTTTCCTGATTAGTATTCTGGGGGTGTCTGCGGGACGAAAGCCCACTGTCTGTCTTCAGGGCTGGTGGCAATGTGTGCTCTCTCCCTCGCTCACTCGCTCTTACTTACTCTCTTTTTTTGGGGGGGAGGACTGTAAGCCACCAACCTACGACCCTGTACGGATGCAATTGCTCTGCTGAACAATAAAGGAAATGTGTAAAACCTACTTTTCCATGTTAAGGTCCATGTAGCAAAAGCATGGCATCTTGATTTTAATTAGTAGTCTACCTTGTTGCATATTAATTAAAACTATACTGATTAGAGAATGTTTGGGGTAGTTTTTTTAATAGCTTAGGAAGATTTGAAAGTCTAATTTCCTGACTATAAAATGAACCTTTAAAAAATTCCTAGTAGCAAGGAAAGCCAGTAACTGTTATTACATTGTAAATAATATGCCATAGCATAGCAAGGAATGGAAAAGATGGGATGGTAAGTGTAGTTGAAAATACCAGAAAATTACCAGAAATTAACGGTCAAATGAAATGTATACTGAAAGAAGATTTGCTGGAAAGGTCACATAGACTTTTATCTTGATCTCATGAACATGCTCCAAGTTTTCCTACCATTAATTTGAAGAGAATGAACAAATAGAAATAATATTAAGTTAATTACAACCTTTAAAAAAGCATTTTATGTTAAACACACTGAATTAAAAGTGAGAAGTAAAAATCCACTCCCTAGCATAGTTGATCTAAATTACTCATAGTTTGTGAGACACACTGTTTATTCACAAAAGTATAGGAGGTGAAATCCAAATTCCCCAGATTAACCAGTTATCAGGCCTACAAGTATTTTGTTTTTGTTAGAGATAACCAGGCCAACTAGATTATTTCAACGTTCAGGAGCAACAGATGAAAGAATTTCAAGGAAGCAAAATATGTAGACTGCCAAATAAAATTGGACAGAGTGTTCTTTAGTGATGGTAGTGGCGGTGGGGAATAGCTCCTTACAGCCAATAACCAAAACATTTGCACCATTTTATATGTCAATACAATTTTTGTGATTATTCTGTTGCCAGCAAGTATGGTTGATAAGCCCAATCCTTGGCCTGTTTACTAAATAAGCATGCCTGAAGAGTGCTCTTAGTAGATATGAAACTTAATAGCAATGTAATATTTCTACTACAAAAAGACAAATTACATTTTATATGACCCAACAAATAAGTCTTAATTAATTGCAAAACACATTAATATCACATTTCAGTGTTAACTGACAAAAATAAAAAGTCACTTCTTATGACAAAGCATGATTGTTAACTGCATGGATTACACAATTTTGCTAACAGCAGTGCCATAAGATTCCATTCCACTAGTAATAACAGCATTAGGGGATTCAGAAAATTTCTAACTCAAGCTCTAAGGAATTCTATTTGCTAACAAAACAAAACTTGATAACTGTCTGAAAATTTATCTTCTACCAAATGTTGATGCAATCTACGGAGTTATTTCAGCCAAGAGATCTTCTGAATTCAAAATTTCACCATTTTAATTTGACAAATTTAGAGCTATTATAGATAAGAAATTTAAAGCACAAACATTTGAATTCAGGTACTTTCCTAACCTTTTGTATGCTGATTGTTTTAAAACTACATTAGTTTATGTGACTTAAAATATCAAATACCCTGTTTTCCCAAAAATAAGACCTAACGTGAAAATAAGCCCTAGTATGATTTTCAGAATGCTCGTAATATAAACCCTACCCCCAAAATAAGCCCCAGTCTTGATGTCTGCTAAGGAAGCAGTATTAGGTGTTTCCTAATGAAGAACTGGGACTTAGTCCTGAATTTTTTTTTTTTTAAAAAAAGAAAAAGCAATCCAAGCTTTCACATGAAAATTGTAAATAAAAAAAAAGGCAGCTAAAATTGCACCTGTTCTTAGGGTTAAAATACACCAAGCATAATCTCTGGGCTGCTAAAGGAGTGTGTATGAGATATATAATTTTGGCACTCTGCTGGTTTTTCTAAAAGCAGAAAGGGGGGGGGGCAAAAATTAATAGAAGATCCTGTCTTATTTTCAGGGAAACACAGTACACAAGTATACTTGCAAAGTCATTTCTTGATATCTGCTAAGGAAGCAGTATTAGGTATTTCCTAATGAAGAACTGGGACTTAGTCCTGAATTTTTTTTTTTTAAAAAAAGAAAAAGCAATCCAAGCTTTCACATGAAAATTGTAAATAAAAAAAAAGGCAGCTAAAATTGCACCTGTTCTTAGGGTTAAAATACACCAAGCATCATCTCTGGGCTGCTAAAGGAGTGTGTATGAGATATATAATTTTGGCACTCTGCTGGTTTTTCTAAAAGCAGAAAGGAAATGTTTGTCTTGGGACATAAACAGGTAATTAAAAAAAACTCCCAGTCCTGCACTAGCAGGTGTTTATCCTGATGGAGAGCTTTGCTTAGTTCTGCTGGATCATGGAGGCAGGTGGTTTGTTACTTCACCTGGATGCTTTTGAGCTGAAAGATTCTCACTAGACAGCATTTGGGGAACTGCTGAAAAGCCCAATGGGTGAAACTTTAGAGCAGCTGCATACATCCTCTAGGATTTGGCTGAACTGGGTTATCTTCTTGATTTCTGTATAATTAACGTTCAGTCTATAGAACAGGGTGGCACCATAATTAGCACATACAAGAGCAAATGAAGGAATACCTGGTCACAGTATTATTTTCCCACAGTTCCGTCTGGAGGCAGGTTTGCTGGATACTAATTAATCCAACAGTGAACTTGTGTTTTTAAGAGTTGTAAACATTTTGACAGCTCCTTAAGCACTTCTTACAAAGCAGAACAGTACTTGTTTAATACTGGCCATCAATTTTAATCAGGAATTCTCAGCAAAGTTTCAGATTGCAATTTTTTTTAAGTCTCAGTGTTTTTAAATCATTACGAAGTCAGGAGCATAGCTGTTGTTAGTTCTGCTACAAACTTGGTATATTCAGTGATAATGTTTTTATTTAGACCTTTTATTTTGAAAGAGCTAGCCTTGGTACTGAATGCACAGTACTAAGGCTGTGATCTCAGAACAGATACTTTCTACATAAGAGAATGATCTATTCTGAGGTGAAGTATCCAGCAAAGTTATCTCACAGATTTTAATCAAACTGGATTGTTCCCTGAGAAATAAGTGTATATTTTATCATGCACAGTTCTTAAAAGTCAAGCTTCTGTTTAACACAAATACACACCTAAGTGAACAACAGAACAAAAATTAGCAAGAAGATCTTCAGATAGTTACAGAAACACTTTGAAATAGAGTGCACACAAAAATTTAGGCTTTATGAAGTTGCTAATATTACCTCATACAATAGACATCCTAGGGACCAAATGTCAGATTTGAAGTTATATCCATTTTCATGGATTCTTTCTGGAGACATGTAATAAGGTGTTCCCACTATAACAAAAAGAAAGATAAACAAATACGTAAAACACAATATTTTCAATTAGAATACATTCAAATATTTGGACTGAAAGCTATGCAAGTGACAATTAGATCCAGGTATAAAATACAGAAATATGACCAAACATGGCAGTGTTCACATAAACTTGCACAACTTACAGCATTATTTCAAATATTTTGAGTTTTATTTTCTAACTTTAACTTTCACTCTGAATAGTTTAAAATAAAATAAAAAATTTAAACTTTCCAAAATTTCAAGTTTCATCTCACATGATTCAATCAGTAACTGAGAGAGTTATATTAAATACTGTGTTTCCCCAAAAATAAGACAGGGTCTTCTATTAATTTCTGCTCCAAAAACACATTAGGGGGTGTTTTTTTTTTTTCATGTACAACAATCTACATTTATTCAAATACCATGTCATCTTCTTCTGGTTGCTGCACAATGGTGGAGGGCGGGGTTTCATTTAACTGGGGCTTATTTTTGGGGTAGGGCTTATATTACAAGCATCCTGAAAAATCATACTAGGGCTCATTTTCAGGGAAACAGTAACACTAATGTTGCAGTTATAAAATTGATAGAACATTTTACTTTACCAGCATACATAATACATCTACTCATTTGCGAATACAAATTATACCACAGCTGTATACCTCATTTACTGAAAATACACACAATACACTGTATACATGAGATACCCTATTCATTTTTTGTCTTCAAAGGCTTCATAGGTGATTATCAGTTAAGAAACAGCATGTGGATTTTATTATACTCAAGTGTTGCCTTTAAAGAAAAAGAGTAATGACTTATTCAATCTGCAGAATATTTAAATTCAGCAAAAACAAAAATCTCAATAAGTTTTTAATATGAATTTGTGTTTTTTCAAAAAAGTCTGGCACCATCATTTTATTAACTCAAAAGGTAATAAATAAAACAAAGAACACTTCCCCCGTCTAGAAGGGGGAAGTTATTCTTTTTTGAATGTTATGGGATAGGACATTTCTTAAACATGTAATTACAAGTAATTGAAATAATGGGATCAAGGAGAGGTGCACTATGGAAAAGCAAACTTCAGTAAGGCCAACAGCAGCCCTATGGGCTTCTTCACATGGGGCAGTTTTCAATATAACATATACATTATTTCTTTTGATGGGCTGCACACTTCAGATTCCTTATTCATGTGCTTACAGCAAAACAAACACTGCCACCATGTTTCAGAAGTGAAACTGTCTATATTTTCCTAAGTGGATTCCATCTCTGAATTCAAAGGATGACAGGCAGTAACTAACAAACAAATACATTCTTGTAGGTAGAACTCATTTCCAAGTAAATGAGTTTAGGACTGGAAAAAAAAAACTGAATAGCAGGGCTCAGTAGATTAGAACACAAAAACTTTACAGTAACAGACTGAAATTCTACTGAACAAAAATTCTATACATCTGTTTTAATATAGCTAACTCTTATATATGCTTTAATTTCACTCACAACCCAGTGTTCTCTTGTTTCTTCCTATAATCTGACATTTTTAAGCTTGTTTTTGTTTCTCCCAGTATCCCAGCACTCACTCAGCCCAGCATTCCTTCCTACCCATGGAAACTGAGTTTCCTATTGAGAACTTTGGAGGACAACGATTTCATAGTTACAGTTCGCTAAATTATTACAGTCCAAAGGAGAATTATTTCAGCCTATACTATTTCTAAGACTTGTTTATGTCAAAAGTATCATCAGCCAAACTAATTTCTGTGAATACTGATTAAAGTACATATTGTTGTATGATGAAATAAATGAAAGAAAGTTGATTGAAATCTAGTGGACAAAATCCAGATAAATTACTAAATCCACTGCCAGAGAGAGAGGAGCTCATAGCTGCAGTTTATCTGACTTTATCACAACAGAAGAATCCATCCAGAAGATCCACCTGGAGCTCTGGGAGAACCAATTCTGAAATATAATAAACCCAGTTATTTGAGTGGGGAAATCATTCATATTTGTGCAAAATTTCTAGTTCTCATCATTTCAGAAATCTTCTTGAACAAACAAACAATTATACAGGAAATTCAACCCTAAACTGCCCCTTTTATTTTCAAGTTCACATATAGCTTAAAAATTATAATGGCACAATCTTGCAAACATCAACTCAGAAATAAATCTCAAAAGTTTATGGTGCTCACACCAAAGACGAATCTGCATCAGAAAAACAAAGCTATAATACTTTTTCTGCAGTTCTCCTATGCAAAGCAAGGCACAGAAGAGAAGGCTGCTGGATATACAGGCAGCAGTGGAAAAGTACAGTACTTCAGTGAAAACTCTGATCACGACCTGTGTTCAAACCCAGAGGATTCAGGTAGCTGATTCAGGGTTGACTCAGCCTTCCAACCTTCCAAGGTTGATAAAGTGAGTATCTAGTTTGCTCGGGGTGTGGGGGTTTGCAATGTGTAATCTGCATAATTAAACTGTAAACCACCCAGAGAATGAATGCTTTAAGCACTATGGGGTGATATATAAGCAGAACACTTCGCTTTGCTTTAAGAGTTCTGAAAGTTTATAGTTCACCTAAAGCAAAGTACTGATACTTCTCAGAAACCTGCTGTTATATCAGGGGTTCGAGATGAGCATGAAAGAGTGGTGATTCAACAACAACAAAAAGATTAAATGTTTGTATTTCACAGAGTTTAGAGTAGCCTATCACCTTAACTATAGTAAAAAATGAAGCTTTCAATAATGTCCTTCTGACTTTATAAACAAATGAATGAAAGAACTGCTACATCCCACTAAGATCAGTTTAACAAGAAAGACTTAGTTCCTTTCAAAGGCCTTTTCTTTCACTATTCTCAAAACAACAGAACACAAGGGTCATCTAATCAAATTGGATGGCAAGAGCTAGTAGATGGATAAAAGCAACAACATCTTCATGAAGTGCCTAATTAACAAAGTAGTGTGTTGGATCTCATCATGGCCCCTACTATAAGTTATTTTTATAAGTTGTTGTTGTTGTTGTTGTTGTTGTTGTTGTTGTTGTTGTTGTTGTTGTTGTTGTTGTTGTTGTTGTTGTTGTTGTTGTTGTTGTTGTTGTTGTT